ACATACATACATAGATACATACACATACATATAAAATAAAATAAAAATAAGAATACATCAAACAACGTGGGGAGGGGGAGGGGGGGAGTTAACATCACTGTCTTTCCATGACAAAGAGACAATAAATGTCTCTGTAATTATCGAGATATATACAGACAACAAACAGGCCTGGAACCCAGACACAATATGCCATCAATAGGCGTTAAGCATACTTCATATTCATATTTATCATTTAGTTGGCACGTTTGATGAAGAAAACAAAAAGCAGACTGAGCTTTTACCTTCCTGACACCACATCCTTTGACCCGACCCCAGCTATGAGTTGCTCAAGATCCAGATCCATACCGTCATTGTTGTTAATAATTTCTTCCATGGCTAGTAAATCTGTAAATTCGTGTATCCACTTTTCTACTGCAAAACAGTTTAATTTACGATGTTTCCAATTCATTATTATCATTCTTTTAGCCGCAATGAAAGCTATATTAGCTATCTTATAGTTCTGTTTGTTTTCCAGTTGAGTATCTCTGAATCCGAGTAAGCAAGTAGCTGGGGAAGGGCACAGGTTAATACTTAATAGTTTTGAGACTGCATTTACTATCAGTGTCCAGCAATGTGTAATATCAGGGCAGTACCAAAGCATATGTATTAATGTTCCCCTTTGACCACAGCCTCCCCAGCATAAGTCTGAGGTCTGTGGGTCTATTAAGTTGAGTTTGGCTGGAGTTATATAAGCTCTATGTAATAATTTGAATTGTATCATCCTAATTTTTATTGATTTTGATATTCTGGTTATATTCCTCCATATTGGTTTCCATTCTGAAATGGTAATTGTTTGTCCTAGATCTTGTCCCCATTTTGATTCTGTTTGTTTATTTACAGTCTGGTCTGAGTTAATAAGTAGTTTATACAGACCCGAAACTGTCCCTTTATTAATCACCAACTTTCTGTATTTGTTATCCATTTCACTATCATATTTAAAGTATTCCTTCGGTAGTCTGGAGAAAACCGAAGCTATTTGGGCGTATTGCAAAAAGGCATTTGTACATAAGCCATATTTAGTTCTCAGCTCCTCAAAAGACCGCAGTGAACCTTGATTGATAATATCAGAAATTTGCAGAATGTTATTTTGTTTCCATGCTTTATTTGTTAAAGGATTCCCTGCAGCTGTAATTGCCATATTGTTCCATATTGGACAGGATGCAAGTACCAATTTTGTATTACCCAATTTTTGGCGCATTTTCTTAATGGTTGTACAGGTCAGCCGCATAAGAGGGTTCTTCAGTTTAACAGGTAGATATGGGTGATACCATAGTGATGATAGTAAAATGGATGCATTATTTTCTTTAAATACTTGTTCTTCCAGCCAATCCCAACTCCCTTTCTCTCGTATCTTCCTATAACCCCAGGCTAAACCATATCTGACATTAAATGCAATATAATACAGAAAGATGTCTGGAATACCTAGACCACCTTGGTCTCTCTGTAGAGACAGTTTTTTTTATATTGAGTTGAGTGGGTTTTTTGTCTCTCCATAGGAAAGAGCTAAACATTTTCTTCACATCATCAAACCAACACATTGGTATATTAAGAGGCACTGAGGAGATGAGAGAGAGAATTCTTGGGAGAACATTCATCTTAATTATTTCAACTCTGCCCCACAGAGACAATGGCAGTGATGACCATGTCTTAAGGTCTTCTTTTATAGTATTTGTTAGTGGATGTAAGTTTTTTTCCATAATTTTGTCTATCGGCAACCCAATTGTAACCCCCAAGTATTTCATGCCCTCATTTTTCCAGACAAAAGGAGCTGTACCCAAGTCTTTTTTATATGTAAAGTAATTTAGAGGTATAGCTTCACTCTTGCTCCAGTTAACCTTGTACCCTGATAATTTACCAAATGTGTTTATATTCTGAAGAATTTTAGGGATGGATTGTGATGGTTTTGTCAAAGTCAATAGGATACCATCTCGGGCCTGTACATCCACGGGACAGCAACCACTCTCGCTGTCGGAGACGAGGACCTTCCATCGCCAGCCACTTTCGGGCTCCCTGGAACACCCCACCGCAACGCTATTCTAGACCGTGTGTGTGTGGAACCCACGCCTGGATCCGATCTGCTGGCTTCCTCCTGCTCCCTGTTCGAACAAAGACCACGTGGACGAGGACATCGCCTCCATCCTATTCTTCATTCTCATCCTCCCATCTCCATTCTCCATCCTCCTCTTTTCATCAACATCTCCCTTTGAACGGCTCAAAGTAAGACTGTTCTTTGTTAAATGTGTGATTTGAGTGAAATGTATACCACTTCTGTTTTAATGTGACCAGAAATTCCCTTCGTTATATTTTCCATCTTTAATTTTTGTAGTCAATAAAACCCCTTTTCTTTAACTCAATCCTATCAGAGTCGTGTTGTTAAGTTTCGGATATCTCTGGCTGATTTACGCATTCACTACCTTTTGATTATAAGACTGACTCGAGGCAAAGTTAGTTTGGATCTGTGCAGAAGTAACTGCTGGTGCCCTAAAAATTAAAGCAGATCCCCCACTCGAATAGGACGGCCAGCCTCTGACTTGGAGACTAGCCGCACTATTCTTCTCTTACAATTTATAGCTTACTGTAGTAATATTACCCTACATATATGGTACCCTGTTTGTGAGATCCGCGCATATGACCAGATTTATCAACTCGTACTCTGTGATCTGACCTGTAATACGCTAACTTTACTGCTGCTCCGCTCAAAGCGCTTTCCCCCCACTCCCTCACCCCCTCTGCTCCTCTGCTCCCCGTTGCTATGGTGACTTCAAAGCCAATTTGAGCTCCCCCGCGCCCCGTTTGCGATAAAGCGACACGTGCATGCACCAGACTATTAATTTAGTCTCAAAATCCTGGCTTGTACTAGGTACTACACATTCTCTCCAACGTTTCGCCCTGTCTAGGCCGGTCAGGCGGCGTGAGTTTGTGAAAGTCGCTCCCTCTCTTAAGAGACAGCGCAAAAACCCCCCAAAGTAACAAAGTACGCCGTGCCCAGAGCACGGGCGTACAAACCTACTCTCTAGTCCTTTGTGACCCGCGTCACGAAGGGTTGAAACCGAGTATTTATGTGTATAAAGGCTGTGAAAGGCAGCTGCTTGAATGTGATGCTATTGTTCTGCTAGGCTACGCTAACCCTGTCTCACCACTCTCTCTACCGCTAACCTGCTGTTGTACACACACCAAGACTGTACTGCACAATACAGACAAACACCATCCCACCACTGTGATACGTGCTTGTGCGAACCGTATAACTCGCTCCAGACTTTCGTTGTATAAACTACTGCTAAAACCTCCCGTTCGGAAGCTAACGGCTAGCTACACTCCTTTGTTCTAGCATAAGGCTAACTTCCGCTCGGGCCTGCTAGCCTCGAAGCTACATTCGGACAACGCTAGGGTGACCATACGTCCCGATTTACCCGGGACTGTCCCGATTTTGACCACTGCGTCCCGTGTCTCGGCGGATTTCACAAGTCCCATTGTTTTGTCCCACTTTTACGCACGCTCCGTCCCGGGTGTCCCGATTTTTTTAGCCATGCATATGCAATGGTAAAAAGCTAATACAGCGCACAGTGGCTGAATCTTGTTGCCAATCACACAGTTGCCATAGCAATTTATAATATGAACCAATTGAAAAGATGAACAGTCCTCCGCGTGTCTGTAGCTTGATTCTCATTGGTCCATGGCATTGACATTAGATGTTCACAACAAAACGCTATGAATCAACATTTCTTATGCTGAACATGCCTAAAAGAAAGTCGAGGTTAACCCAAGAGCTCCTGGAACAGTACCGTTTCCTCAGGAAAGTACCGGGTAATGAAAATGCTGCCTTTTGTACACTTTGTAAGTGCGAGTTTTCCGTCGCTCATGGCGGAAAAGCCGACGTGCAGAGCCACAGTAAAACTAGCAAACACAAGAGATGGGAACAGGCGGGAAGTAGCTCTGTTAGCCCATTTTTCGGGCAAGCTGCGGCTGGTGATGAAGAACTTAAACGTGCTGCTCAGGAGGCCACATTTGCCTATCACCTTGTGAGGCACAATCACAGCTTTCGTTCAATGGACTGTACAGCTGGGCTGACGCGGAAATTTTATGACCAACGTTTTACCTGTGCTCGCACCAAAGCGGAGGCAATTGTTACGAATGTGATAGCCCCACATGCTATGGAGTTGCTGCAGGAGGACACCGCGGATGTTACTTTCATCTCCGTCGCAGCGGACACATCAAACCGCAAAGCAGTAAAACTTCTCCCTGTTGTAATCCGCTACTTTACATTGACTGAGGGCGTGAGCGTCAAGATACTCAATTTTGTGTCACTACCAGGTGAGACATCCACCCTCCTATTTAATGAAGTCGAGCGTAGCCTGTCAGCTTTTGGTCTGATGGATAAAGTGATTGGCTTTTGTGCGGACAACACAAACACAAATTTTGGAGGAAAGGCAAGAAGAGGACAAAACAATGTGTTTTACAAACTTGATCAAGCCACCCCCTGCAGTTTGATCGGAGTAGGCTGTGCAGCACACATTGTGCACAATGCAGTGCAATCCGTGTATCATTCGTTCTTTTGATTTTCTAAATAAAACCAACATTGAAAAAACAAATAACGAGGGATGTTTTTGATTCTCAATATTTGAATTTAATGCAAAATTGAAATATTGGTTTGTTTTTTTGTTTTCTGTGGATCCAATTAAAACGAAAATGCAGTAAACCAATAATGACCGTCAAAATTACATTTTGCGATTTTCCTTTGAAACACAAACGTCCCCCGGAAGTGATTCTAAAGTGCGCGTTTGTCACGAGACCAGGAAGTGTCGCCTCCAGGTACTTGGATCGCACCTTGTTAGCGCTGGTTGTAGGAGAAATGTCTCTTAAAACTCTCCTCAACATCAGTCAGATTACCAGCTTTTTCGTTCGCTGCTGCAGAGACCATCGCAGATGAGAATTCTCAGATTCACGAGAGAAGGGGTTCTTCGATGAAAAATATATACACAAGTGTCAAGGTAAGACATAACTTAGCAACTAGCGCTAACAGCTAAGTTAGCGTTAGCTCCGACAAACATGAAACACTTAGCGTTACACATGTAACAAATGTACCTAATGTGAGTGCTTTATTATTATAAATGTATGTTATAGACTTTCATATTATATAAGGACATGATATGTTTGTGTATTGGTGAAAGTAATCATGCTAAATTTTAGTAAATAAAAGATGATGCTAGATGTACCTTAACCATTCAATTGTGCTTTGTTTCTGCTTCATTCTCAATTATTGTCGAGGGACAGTAGTTAGAGCTGTAGCTCAGTTGGTAGAGCATTGGCCTTAAGCCCAGAAGGTCGTGGGTTTATTTCCCACCTCTGCACCTTCTCCATCGACTCTCACTGATGACTGCTGTCGTTGTGTCCTTGGGCAAGACACTTAACCCCACTTTGCCCAAAGCCCCCACTGAAAGATCAAGGCTATGCTCACACTCAGAGAGCAGCCGTCCTCCTGTGGACTCACCACCTGCAGAGGGTCAGTGAGGGGCTGGTGCTATGAGACTTGGGTGGCATCTCTGATTGCCACCCCCCTGACCCAGAAATGGATTAAAGGGTAGAAAATGGATGGATGGACAGTAGTTAGAGCTAGATGCTTCAGGCTTATGAAGAGAAACGAGGAGCCCTCAGACTGCAGGTTTGAAACAGTCAGAAAGACTGCAGGTTTGAAACAGTCAGAAAGACTGCAGGTTGGAAACAGTCAAAGCCGCTGGGCTCATGTTCAGCTTGAGTTCCTGTCCTGATAGAAGACTAGCATAGCATCTTTCTCTTCTGCTGACCTTTTATAAGATAGTTAAGTTATAACAAGTAATAATTATATGTCTGTTCTAAACCCACTTTTCTGTTTTAGATCTCACTGGGTGTGCAGCAGGTAAAGGTTTCAGACTTCACACTACTCCCAGCCTTGGCCTGTACCAGTGATCTGCAAAGCTCTCACGCTGGTCCTGGTCTGTACCAGTGATCTGCAAAGCTCTCACGCTGGTCCTGGTCTGTACCAGTGATCTGCAAAGCTCTCCAGCTGGTCCTGGCCTGTACCAGTGATCTGCAAAGATGGATGTGTTTATGTCAATGCAATAAAATTAATAACTGATCTACAAATCTCCTTTTTGTTCCTTTACATTTTAAACTTTCAACTCGTGTTTATCATTGTAAATTTATGTTACAAAATTAGAATCATTGCATGAAAAAGCACGTACTCATCAGTGTACATTATGTTCTGTCACATTTGAAAGTGTAAAAACTGTTCTTAAATCCAGTTGTCCTGGTCTTAATGGGCATTACACACGCAGTGACCTCACAGATGTAAACTGTATGGTCAATCTAACATGCTGGTTAGGAAGTCTAACATGTGTTCTGTGAATGTAAAAACCTCCTTGTTCCAGTCTTTTTGGGCTCCTTTATTCACAGACCAACTGTGGCGGAGCTACAGCAGTCAGTCTGCAGAGGTTAACAGTTTCCTATGACTCAATGAGGATGCTGCTGAAGATCCCAGACACAGTCGTCCAGTCAGATGTTTGCTGAGTGCAGGGTGCGCTCCTTTCCTACGTCACTGCTACTATCGGTTCATGTGTAGAGTCATGATGGTACCTAATGCTACTATCAGTCATGTGTAGAGTCATGATGTTACCTAATAGTATTGTACAGTCCCTGGTTTGCCCTTACATCAGCTCAGTCAGGTTCACTTCTAAACTTTGGAGTCACTGGCTTCTTTGTATGTGTGACTTGCTGTAAATATGTGATTATGTGTCTTTTTAACACAGCTTTTTTTTTAATTCTTTCATTCTTAGCTCTGGATCCTGTGCTTGCATGTAAGTCCTTAGTAAAATCTAAATAAAATTGGACCCATGTTGCTGCTGAAAGGAAGTCTGAGGTGTAAGTTGTTCTGTAAAGGTACATTCAAATACACAACTTGTCATTTTACAGTCTTGTTTAGTTAAGAATGTCATTTCCTAATTCATAAATCTATTGATACATAATCCACTAATAGTTTAGTATTTGTTTTAACGGGTTTTCCATTGCAATTCAACACAATTTAGAAAAAAAATGTACAGAATTGTGTCCAAGTGTGTTTTAATTTGGGAACAAACTAATCAAAAATATTTACACTGGAACAGACACACAGATTTACATACATGATGAATTTAGTCTTTGGCCTTCTTAATTTGCCAAAACACAAGCTGTGATTCCTGAGCCTCGGGAGACAGAATCCCTCTGGAATGTTGCAATAAAATTATTCCAGGAAAAAGAGATGGAGCAGCAATAGTTTTAAGGCGGCTGATATGTAAAAAAAAATATATGTACAGTATATACTGGGCAGGAACATGATCCATGTTTAATGAATACATTTACTCAGAATACCTTTCTGTGAGCCCTATACGATGAAATAACGCCACTTCAAAAAGTTTGCTTTCGTGATTAACCACTGTATCTAAAAGAAGAGACATGTTTCAGCTGATGACTTGACATTTGGATAAACCTAGTCGGTGTAACGTGGTTGATATTTCTGCATGTTTGAATGTTTTAGAACCATTCTATCGCTGTATCTGCAAAGTCTTCCAACGCACTCATCATTTAGTTCATCTCCACCGCTACTCCACTGTTTACCTGCGGGGTGCGCACTTGCGAATCACTTCCGGGGGATTCTTGTGTTTCAAATGGAAATCGCAAAAAGTAATTTAGACGATCATTATTGGTTTACTGCATTTTCGTTTTAATTAGATCCACAGAAAACCAAAAACAAACCGATATTTCAATTTTGCATTAAATTCAAATAATGAGAATCAAAAACATCCCTCGTTATTCGTTTTTTCAATGTTGGTTTTATTTAGAAAATCAAAAGAACGAATGATACACGGATTCAGTGCAATCAGCAGCAGACACACTTCCCTGTGACATAGAGAACTTTGTTGTCAAGGTATTTGGATACTTTCACATTTACACCGTCAGAACTGAGGAGCTGAAAGATTTCTGTAATTTTGTTGAGGTTGAGCATGCCACGCTTCTGGGGACTAGCAGAACACGCTGGCTTTCACTGGGGCCTGCTGTTGAGAGGGTCCTGAAGCTTTACCCAGCTCTTCAGTCCTACTTCAGGTCTCAAGATAAGGCTCCTGATTCTATTCTAAAGTTTCTTGAAGACCAAGTGTGCGAGGCATGGCTTCGGTTTATTCATAACCAACTGACACTTTTCAATGACACCATCAAACAACTGGAGAAGGAGAAGAGCTCTGCCATCCATTCTGCCCTGTACCTCTCCAGTCTTAAGGAAAAGCTTATGGAGAGGAAGGCTGCACTCTTCATGGGCTTAAAGGTGAGTTGTATGGATCATATAAAACTATAATAATACATACTTGTACACATTTGATAGCACTGTTATTTTTTTATTTGCATACAGTTGTATAAATTATAGTGTAAATAGTAGGGGTGTAACGGTTCAGCTATCTCACGGTTCAGAACAGTTCACGGTGCAGGACCCACGGTCCGGTGCATCACGGTGCTAGTGCGATATAATTGGCTAATAAATCAGTTTTGAAATAAAATAGCCTTAATGTTCATTATTAAGCAGTTTTTGTAATTTCAGAAATACATTGAAAATGCTTTCTAATTTTTCAAAGCTGCTTTACAATAAAATGTGCCCTAGGGCTAAAAAAACACACACACAAAAACCACAGTGCTCTAAAGTTAAAGAAAAAAGTGCACTGGATTTATACTTTACCGCAGCCTGGCCATCATCAGCAGGAGAAACGTTTGCAAAGGCACGCGGATTTCATTTGTAGCACGGTGCATTGTTACACCCCTAGTAAATAGTAAATAGCAATTTAACAGTAACAACTGTTCATGGTTTTATTAATTGCATAATGAAATGTTTTTTGTTTTTTAATTTAGGTGAAAAGTCTTCTGGTTGGCTTCCAAGAGCGCCATCAAGTGGATATGTTCAAGAAAGGCGTCCAGAACTTCTATGACTGCTGCATCTCATACCTCCAGGAGTGGGGCTCTCCATTCACTGAGCTGAAGTGCCTCTCCTGGACACTGCTAGAGCATGCACCAGAGTGGGATGAGGTTGAGTGCTCCCTGAGGTATGTCTCCACCAAGCTGCCACAGATGGACATCATTGAAACAGAGCCAGGGCTGGACTGGCCATCGGGCGTACCGGGCAATGCCAGAAGGGCCGATGCCCATATTTGGGCCGGTCTGTCTGCCTCATACAAAAAAAATGTTTGTGAAAAGTGTAAATCCGTTGAGAACTGTTCGAGGGGGCGCGCGTGTCCGCGGGGCACCTGCTGTATGTACTCGAACGGGATTCCACCACCTCAGCGGCCGCAGTGTTCCGGCATCCAGCGGCTCTGAGCTGGACGCGGGAACCGCTCACCGGGAACCGCTCACAACACAACACGGTGAGCGCGTAGCCGCAACGTGGCCATGTACCCAAGACCATAAACGTGCACAGGACCATGTGTGTCTTTGCGTAATTTGTGCACCAAATAAATACACCGCTGCAGAAAACAGTCCGCGTCTCCCCTCTCCTCTTGAAGTGCGACTAAATTAAAGCTCGGGTGCCTAAATTTTCCATTGCATTAAAAGTTCATGTTTAAGCCCAAAAGTAAAATGTTGTGAAAAACTTAAGCAGATTTAGAGCCAGCAAATGGCTGACAATATGCATTTCAGTCTTTTTTGACCAATTCTCATCCCTGTAACAAACAATAGTGTTGTCTGTGTGTTCACCTTCCTCACTCTGAGACATGTTTATTACTCTCTTGTAATGTAGACTATTGCACTTTATTTTTTTGTTGAAACTGTAGACATCCTGATCCTCTACAGTATACTTCCACATACTGTATAAACCAGGGGTCGGCAACCTTTAGTGCTCCTCCAGTGGCTCCTGGAGCCTTTTCAAAAATGTCTGAAAATGGAGTGGGAGGGCTATATTTTATTCCTAGTTTGAATGTGGTTTCTGTGGGAGGAAAAACATTCCTAACGTATTTCAATGCTATAAAAATGTGTATAAGTAATATTCCACATTTCAACTTTTCTGTTAACATAGTGCGTCATATCCTGTGAAGCGGCCCGCGTTAGGCGGCCGCTGCTGTAAACAAACCGGCGTGTGCGCACGGATCCCAAAGATAAAAAGAGAACGAGTCGATAATAAGACTGGACTAAGAACAAGACTGAACATTTGCTTTTAGTCAATGAGGAAAGACTGCTTCATGTTTGCGATGTAATGAGAAGTTTTGTTGCAACACGAGGAACAATGAAGCACTAAATACCGTTCACAGGGATTACGTGAAGGATTCTTTCATACAAAATCCGGAGCACCTTTTTCAGACTTCAAAAACCTCCGCAAAGACGGTGAAAGAAAAGGCCATTAAGGACATTCAGCTCCAGCAAACTTCAGCCTGTGACGTAATCGATATGAGCGGACAGTGCAGGTGTGTGACCTTTGAGCCAAAAAGCAGATTTATTTACTGTATTGTAAAATGGAAGTCAAAGTTAAAGCAGAGTCATCACGTGGTGCGTCATTCTCTCCAGGACACGCTGCAGTGAAAACACACATTTGATAATCATGAATGCTTATTATGTATTTGTAGCCTTTAGATATTAGGCTAATGTAGCTATAGCTACATTGTGTAACCTTCATATAAGCTTTATACAAGGCTGTTATTTTTTTGAGGCTCCAGACAGATGTTTTTAGTTTTTTTTGTCAAATATGGCTCTTTGAACCTTTTGAGTTACCGATCCCTGGTGTAAACAAACTGTAAAAAACGTGACAAAAACATGCCTGGGCCGGTAAGAAGGAAAAAATGCCCGGGCCGTTTTTTTATCCCAGTCCAGCCTTGAACAGAGCTGTTTGATGAAGTCACTTCTCTCAAAACTTACACATCAGAAAAGATTGAACAGTGGAACACAATTTCAACACCTGCAGATGAGCGCTGGGCAGAAATGTTCACACATTTTAAGTACAGACATGTTCCATTCAGAAACATTTTTGTTATCTGCCAGTTTGCCATGTGCCTTCCTGGCACAAATGCCCCTGTTGAGCGCATTTTTTCAATTATGAACAATACTTGGACTGATGAGAGAAACCGTATGGGACTGGAAACTTTGAAAGCGCTGCTCATTACTCGGGTGAACTTTCAGTATAGTTGCTCTGAGTTCTATACAACAGTGTTTTTCAACCACTGTGCCGCGGCACACTAGTGTGCCGTATGATATTGTCTGGTGTGCCGTGAGAAATTCGTCTACTTTGTCTAAAAATAACTGCATTCGCTGTTGACGAGCGGTGACTTGTTTTGAAATGTGAGTAACCATGTAATACTTTTTCAAATCAGTAGATGGCAGCAGATAGCTAAGTACTTTGAAACTGAAAAATTGGATGCGACCACTGGCTGTAACAGGTCAGCATTGTGGCGAGAAAGGTAAAATTGGATGCGACCAACAAATGTGTGAGGGAGCGAGACAAGAGCTTTGTGGCGAGTGAGAAGTGAAAGTGATAGAGACGTTTTTGAAAATGAATTATGCCGTTTCTGAACAGGATTAACATCCTCCGCTCTGCCCCGGGGCAGCTGTGGCCGCGTTGTAGTGGTTTAACTATGAAATGTACAATTTTTGTACAACAGCTCTCGCGAACGCACTTCTGAACTGGGTACCGAGCGCAGACCGTAGTCGAGTGGACAGAACCACAGACATGCGGACCGGACAGAACCATGGACTCGCGTTCAGGACCTCCCGTGTCCCTAATCCAAAACTCCTGAATTTAAAGCTCGGATACCTAAATTTTTCCCATGCACTAACAATGCATGTTCTTTGTGTGAGTTATTATTTGACTATTTGGGCAGAGAGTGGATTTTCTTAGTTTTTTTCCACACAGTTAGTGCCACTTTATTCCCAAACTCTTGTTAATTGTATCGAGAAATATTAAATAAAGCTTAATTTCAAGGCCTGGACTTAAGCATTTTGATGAGAATAACTGTATATTGTGAATATAGGCTACAGAGTATACTGTATACATTATAAGATAAGATATACTTTATATATCACACAGAGTATGTACAGTATATATTTTTTTACATTAGTACTGTATACATTTTTACATTTTCTCCTGGAGGTGTGCCGCAAGATTTTTTCAGTGAAAAAAGTGTGCCTTGGCTCAAAAAAGGTTGAAAAACACTGCTATACAAGGATCAGTGACAACCGTAGCCTCTTGAAAAAGGTACACTCAAGCATGAAATACTAGAGTCAGTAAGACTGTTCAGGGTTTTGCATTGAAGCACTGATTTTGTTTATGCAATAAGGTTTGATATTTCAAAACAATTGATTGTTTAAATGTTATACATCTTTTGATTGTTTGGGAGCCACATTTTGACTGCAATAAAATTTCACTTCATTCGTTTGTGGTGAGAATTTGTCGTATAATTTTGGTATTAAAATGTCCCAGTTTTTCATTTTGAAAATCTGGTCACCCTAGACAACGCCCGTTGCTCCTAATACTGCTCCCACTAATAGCTGCTCTCTTAATGTTAATATTACTGCCACTCTGTTTAACCAAATTGCATTCGGTTACCAAAACTCATTGTCTTTGCCTAAACTGCTGCTAAAACGTCCCGTTGCCGGCTAGCTAAAGGCTAGCTACACCCCTTTGTTTTTAGCATACGGCTAACTTCCGGCCCCGGTCCGATAAAAGCCTACACCTCGTCCCTACTGCTAAAACCACTCTGCCTGCTGCATTGCTCACCCGTTGTCTAACAATAACACTACTTACTATACTTTCGAGCCATTCTGTCTCACTCTGATTCTGTGTTCTGACGATCATAAGGCGCTAGCCGTCTCGGCATACTGCTAAACGAGCCGCACCTCTTTTATTGTCTAACACAGGATTGCTTTCCGGTCCCGGCACTACTTCCGGGACCACATTGCTGCTGTCTTGACATTTTATCCTGCACCACGTCTTATGATCAAGTGTTGGCCGTGGTTGTAACATTAACACTGTTTTGGCTGTTATCCCGTGCTGTTTCTGTTCCAACTAATAACACATTACTTTGCCTAACTTGATGTTTGATTGTACTAAACTAATACGCTAATTCCGCCCCTCCTGCTGCATGTAATTGGCGTACCACATTGCTACGTTGGTGAAACGAATAATTTTAATTCCGCCCCTCCTTCTGCATGTCATATTGTTTTTGTTAGACCACATTACTGCTATACATAACAAAAGCTAACACTCTGTTTCTGCTTCTCCTCTTAAACATAATTGTTAGGCTACATTACTGCGTTGGCCAAGTTTCATACTGTAACTCTGCTCCTTCTAGCGCATGTTGCTATTAGAACACATTACTCCTATACACAACAGAAGCTAACACTCTGTTTCTGCTTCTCCTCTTAAACATAATTGTTCGACTACATTGCTGCGTTGGTATATCTAATACTGTATTCCTGCCCCACGCCACGTGATATCACTAAAACTGCATTGCCTTGCCGCTCAGCCTGCTGCCTTTTGCTACTGCTTACTTGAGCTGCGTCTCAAGCTACGCCGCGCCCCCGCTGCGTCTCAAGCTACGCCGCGCCCCCGCTGCGTCTCAAGCTACGCCGCGCCCCCGCTGCGTCTCAAGCTACGCCGCGCCCCACGCTGCGTCTCAGACCGACGCTGCGTCTCAAGCTACGCTGCGCCCCACGCTGCGTCTCAGACCGACGCTGCGTCTCAAGCTACGCCGCGCCCCACGCTGCGTCTCAAACCGACGCTGCGTCTCAAGCTACGCCGCGCCCCACGCTGCGTCTCCTGCGCTGCGTCTCCTGCGCTGCGTCTCCTACGCTGCGTCTCCTACGCTGCGTCTCTCACGCTGCGTCTCTCACGCTGCGTCTCTCACGCCGCGTCTCCCACGCTGCGTCTCAAGCTACGCCGCGCCCCACGCTGCGTCTCCTACGCTGCGTCTCCTACGCTGCGTCTCTCACGCCGCAACCTTGCGCCGCGTCCGTACGCTGCGTCTTAACGCCGCGTCCTTAGGCCGCGCCCTCACGCCGCGCCCTCACGCCGCGACCTTGCGCCGCGTCTTAACGCTGTGTCCTTAACGCTGCGTCTTAACGCTGCGTCCTTAACGCTGCGTCTTAACGCTGCGTCTTAACGCTGCGTCCTAACGCCGCGTCTTTACGCCGCGTCCTTAGGCCGCGCCCCCACGTTGCGTCCTCACGCCGCGTCCGTACACTGCGTCTTAACGCCGCGTCTTAACGCCGCGTCTTAACGCCGCGTCTTAACGCCGCGTCTTAACGCCGCGTCTTAACGCCGCGTCTTAACGCCGCGTCCTTAGGCCGCAACCTTGCGCCGCGTCTTAACGCTGCGTCTTAGGCCCCGACTCCACCGGGCGCGTCTCCGTTGACGCGCGTTGGCTGCTGTCCGTCGGACGTCCGTTAAACGGACTAGTGGTCAAACCGGCTGCAGCAGCGCGCAACTCTGGCTGTCCGTTTATCAGCAAAGCTGCCCAACTTCCCTCCCGTGTTCAGGGCTTTGTTTTAACTGCATACCATTCAAATTAAAGAAGCGGTGTGTGATTTGCATGAGCTCTGTGATTGGATGTCACGTTGGAATGTGAACAATTGAATGGGGGAAGCTCCACGTCCTGTGGTCGGAGTGGCATTCGCTCCTTTGGAACCGAAGAAAGAACCTCCGAGTTTGTGATGGGTAAGTAATTACGTTAAATAATAATTTACTACGAATATCATTGTCGTATCGTAATGTATAAGGGCAACTGTAGGCGTTGTATATGGCGAAATCCTTATCTCTATAAGTACATATTAATGATATAAATATAGGCTATATATATGAGTGTCTAGCAATTACAACTATCTGAATACACAATATTTAAATTATCATTGTTTATAGCTCCAGCAATCGACAGACGGCGAGTTTTGGCAGCAATGCTATTGCTCAGACGACTTCGAAGGAGAAGACAATCCATGTGGGTTCATCCCTTGAACCAGCGCAGGCCTGAGTTTGGTTCATACCACCACCTTGTGGCTGAACTCCAGCTGTATCCAGACAGACACAGAGACTACTTCAGGATGTCTGCAGAAAAGATGGAGGAGCTGCTATCCAAAGTCGGACCAGAAATTCAACATCAAGACACAAACTACAGGCTTTCCATAGAGCCGAAACAAAGACTGGCAGTAACTATAAGGTAACAAGCAATATTAAAAACGTTTTCTGTTATTTTAAAAAAAACAGAATCAGTTGGAGGTTTTTTTTAAATAAACATAGAAGAACATTTGTTTTACACAAAATGAACATAAACATATGTTACTAGGGCCAGAGTAAAATCAGAATCAGAATCAGAATCAGAATCATTTTTATTGCCAACGTAAGTAACGGGAGGTCACAGACTTGGAAATTGCTTTGGCTCAGTGCAACAGTCAAACAGTCAAAAAGAGATAATAAATAAATAAATAAATAAATCACAGAATATATTAACAAAGTAAATACTAACAACATTCAAATATGAACCATAACACAATTGCACACGAATCACACCATAAACAATTTTTGTAAACCAAAAAAACACACACAAATATTATAGGGAATGGTACGAGGTGTCCTGATCCTCCCCGTAGCTCTCAGGATGCCCAGTTTGGTGGGGCAAAGGTGCTCCTGGCCTGTATGGGTGATAAGCCCTGCGCTGCTGTTGGCCCCTGTTGGCTTCCCATTCCAACACCTCATTGAGGACCACCTGTATTCGCATGTGTGCCATTGCCCTGCCTTGTGGGGAGAAGCTCACAAGTTGAGGCACAATGCTTAGGGCAAAATAGACCTCTCCCTCATCTGCTTGTGGCACATGCTGCGGCTGGACCGTGAAGGGGGTATTGGTTAGAATGTCTATAAGCTGGTCCTCAGCACTGGCAGTCTGCCGCCTGCGTTCGCGGGTTGTGGTCCTGCTGGCTCGGGTAGGCTGGCTCTGATTACTTATCAGAGCCTGAACTCGTTGATGAATTGGGGGTGTTGCCGCATGTGCAGGGGCTGGAGTGACAGGCGGCGTGCTCCTTGCCACTGCCGGACTCATTGGCCTGCTGGATAGGTCGCAGATCTGTGGTTCTTCTTCCTCCTGGTCCTCATCCTCTACCACTCCTTCCAGTGAAGCCTGTGTGCTGTTACATAATGCAAATGCATTTGTATTTATTTTAATACAATGTTATGTTTGAAATGTTTTTTTTTACGAGAGTGTAAATTTTAATTTTAAAGTAACACTCTCTCATACTCTTACCTTCTCAATGACAATTGAGGGAGAATGAAAGATATTTCCTTTTCCCACTTCCACTCTTTTGTGTTTCCTCCTCCAGATCCACTTGTTGGCTTGTTTTTTTTATGCCTGACAAAGCTGTCCCGGAGTTGCCTCCACCTTTTTTTGCAATCCTCACCTAATGAATTAAAAAATATGTGGGTTACATTACAATTATTATGTTTTAAAACATGTTTTTTTTTCCTCAGGTTTCTTGCAACTGGGGAGTCATTCAGGAGCTTGGCCTTCCAATACCGCCTGGGCAAAGCGACAGTGGCCAATATAGTTCACACAACTGTTCGTGCCATCAAGCGATGCATGCTGTCCACCCAATTCCCCCCAATGACCGAGGGAACATGGAAAGCCACTGCTGAGGTCTTCTGGGAAAGATGGGGCTTTCCCAATTGCTTGGGTGCTATAGATGGAAAGCACATCAACATAAGTGCTCCAGCCAACAGCGGAAGCCAATATTTTAATTATAAAGGCCACTTCTCTGTTGTGCTATTGGCCTTGGCAGATGCCAACTATAGACTGCTTTTCTTTCAAGTAGGGGACTATGGCCGCACAAGCGATGGTGGTGTTTTTAGTGCTTCCCGGCTGAAGAAAGGACTGCAGAGAAAAACATTACACGTCCCCGGTGACGTTCCATTGCCGGGTTCAGGTGTACATGGGCCAATGCCCTATGTCGTTCTGGGTGATGCTGCATTCCCCCTAAAAACCTTCTTGATGCGTCCATTCCCCGGACGGAGCCTTCCCCCACAGAAGGAGACTTTCAACTACAGACTTTAAAGGGCCAGAATGGTGATTGAATGTAGTTTCGGGATTTTATCGTCAAGATGGAGGGTTCTCCTCACCACCATTTCAATGGACCCCAAAAACGTGGATTATATAGTTTCTGCCTGCTGCATTCTCCATAACTTCCTTCATTCTGAGGAGGAAGCAGAAAGATGCCTGGAAGAAGCAGTGGAGGGGAATTTGTTCATGGAGCAAAATGAGGAAGGAAGGGGAAATCGAGCTAGCCAGACTGCGATTGCAAATAGAAATAAGTTAGCAGCTTTTTTCAGTTCAGATGAAGGGAGGCTGTGATACTTTCATTCTGTCATTATGTAAATATGTTACAATTTGTAAATATTGTTGACTGTAAATAAAATATGATTCCAACTCATTTGTGTTTTTCCCGTTATTATTAGAGTATTATTACATACACATGCCAACAAAAAGAAACAATGAACACACTGCTGACAGTTTGTATGCCACATATGAAATTATTAAAATAAGGTCTACAGCAGGTGATTCTGGAAATTACAGATGTACTTAAGTTGCCTATCTTAACTAACTTATCTTTTTGTCATTGAAAATAGTAATTAGGGAATCTGGAATTGCAAATAGAAACTACTCGTGTTATTACGCTTTTAGAACTGTTATCTATCAAAGACAGTAGCTCACTAGTGCAGTAGTAATGTATTTTGTATTGGGGGAAAAGTAAAAATGGCCAGGTTCAACACGTTTTTTTTGTGGTTTTCGCTCCGTGTTAACTTAATTCATACTGACACACTATACTTACTTTTGACTCCCATCATTGAAGAAATCATGTCCCAAGCCTTGTCTTTCTTCCTTGTGTCTTTGTAGTAACTATTGCTAGTGTTGTACAACTCAGGGAATTGCTCGACACTTTCAATTAGTTTAGCTTCGTCCATCGCGACGTCCTTGATGCTTCAATAGTGTTGTGCTTTGCATAGATCACAGACACGTGACTAGGCACTTGGCAAAAAGGGGTGGAGAGAGAAAAAAACTTCAAAATATCAAGGCTTTTTTGAAAGCAAGTCAATATTGACATTACGCGAATAATAAACGGCAGATTTATATCAGGGAAAAAATAATTAAATATTTAAAATAATGTGATAAATATATTATTCCATTGCATTTTCAATGGAAAACGGACCCGACACGCGTCGACGGACGGAACAAATAGGATTGTTTCTATTTCGTCCGTCCACGTCTTTTGCACCCTCCGTTGACGGAATAGGTCCGACGTGCGTTGGACGGACGCATGCGGAGGCAGTGGAGCCACTTCCATTCACTCTCATGGAGATAACGGAGACGGAGATGAAACGGACATGTTTGGACGGATCCGTCGTCCGTTTTACGCGCCCGGTGGAGTCGGGGCCTTAACGCCGCGTCTTTACGCCACGTCCTTAGGCCGCGCCCTCACGCCGCAACCTTGCGCCGCTTTTTAACGCTGCGTCCTTAACGCTGCGTCTTAACGCTGCGTCTTAACGCTGCGTCTTAACGCTGCGTCTTAACGCTGCGTCTTAACGCTGCGTCTTAACGCTGCGTCTTAACGCCGCGGCCTTGCGCCGCGACTTTACGCCACGACCTCGCGCCACGACCTCGCGCCGCGTCCTTACGCCGCGCCCTTATTACTGCTGCTACCGCTGGTGCCACTACTAACCCTACGTGCGCCAACGCCACTAACCCCAACGCTCTTCGCTGACACACAGGTGAAGAAGCACTAACGCCTGACCCCAGTCCTAGGCTGACTGCTCGCATACACCGCCGCACGAGGAAGACGCTGTAGTCACGACTTTGACACACACCAAGGTCTACACCACCACACGACCAACAGCTAAACTACCCTCTCTATAGCACTGCTTTCCTCCTTTCCCTCCTCCCACCGTGTCGTACACACACGTTCCAAGTCATACTCGCATACACTCACCCACACAAACATGGAAATCGATGGCAGAGACTCGCCACGACCGAGCGAGCACGACAACGTCGTGGAGGAACGCGACGTAGTGGACAACTTTCTGCGCGACTTCACAGAGAAGTTATCCCCAGGGACTTATGACACGCTCGAGCACAGCTCACCCTCTGACTTGCACGATGCCACTTCCACTTTGGCATCCGAGGCTATTACGAAAGAACTAGAAGGTAAGACCCTGACACCAGGCCCGTCCCAAGGGGGGTGCGAGGCCCTGTGCGAATTTGAAATGCGAGGCCCTGCCCTGACACTTTTTTCCCAGATTTGAGGAAAGTTTTCCCTGTTATAATCTTTGACATAAATTCAGCACCGCCTTGCGCTGTGCGTGAAGAGAAACAGCACGTGCCGTGCACAGCCGCTTGTCCTCGCTCCAATGCAGCGTCGGACGCACGCGCATGTAAACGTACACACACAAACACTGTTACGGCTCTTGGCAACTTCTATTCGTACTCCCTTATGGAGCCTTCTTTTGTCTATTAAATTTACCTGTTAAACTCAAATAAATTGTAAATTCTTATTTAGTGGACTGTGAGCTGGATGACCCTTCATTTAAGAATGAACTACTCATGGCTCACACACAAACCAACCCAAAATAAATATCATCATTCCTTGCTTTATTGTTCAACACACTTTTATCATCACCGTGTGTGGAATGATTGGAACAAAATCTGAACCCTGAACATTGTAAAGCGCTTTGGGTGACCTTGGTCTGTATAAATACGCTATATAGATAAACATTACTTACTTACTTACTTATTTTGAGCGGCCAACTAATAGAATATACGCTCTTTTTCATCACAACGTAGTCCCTATTTACAATTAGAATACTTATTTACACACGTAGAAAACATATCACATTGCAGCAAAATCATAGAGTCACTTTTCTCGCCTTCTTGGCCGCAAACTCGGCAATCAGGTCTTTATAATCCAATTTGGATGCAATTTCTTTTTCAATAGAAAGAAGAGCAAGCCCGCACAGTCTGTCCTGTGACATCGAGGTGCGTAAATAGTTTTTAATTAATTTAAGCTTTGAAAAGCTTCGCTCCCCTGATGCCACCGTTACTGGGATAGTCAACAGGACCCTGAGCGCAATCTCGCAATTTGGGAACGTTCCTTCAATGGATTTAAGGTACCGAAGTGTTTTAAGGGCTGTAGTTGCTCCCTTTGGGATCATCTCTCGAAGTATCCTCAACTCCACGAAGAGGTCCAGTGCGTTCAAATCCTGTTGAGATTCTGACACGTTCAGAGCATCACTAAGTGTTGCACACTGTCGTCGCAGGTCAATGTCCTCCACTTCACGCAGTTTCGAGAGATAAAAAAGAAAACCAAACAAGTTGCCAAACTCTTGTAGCTGTTTAAAACGAGAATGGAGAGCAGTGAGGGCCTGGTCCACTATCACATTAAAATAGTCTGTTATGTACACCTGCTCTGGGTTCATTTCATTTCCATCACGTTTCACTCGTCTTATCGTTTTTATTTCAGGTTCAGTGTCCATATCGACAGCAATCTCTGTTGCAGTAGCTTTTGCAGATGCAAATCCAGTGTCTCTGTATTTTTGCATGAAGTCAATTAATCCATTGAGTTGCGATAATGCCAGGTCAAGCTGCATATCCTTTGCCTGGAGTGTCTTGCTCACGGTGTTCACGGCGAATAAAATATCATACCATATTATTGTAGACAGGATAAATTCAAAGCTTAGCATTTCATTAGCCAGCGAATTGGCTTCACTTTTAATTCTGGGGTCATTACAGTTCTCTGACAGTTCAAGCAAAGCTTCCCGAATATCACGTGTCTGATAGCGTACTGCTTTAACACTGTCTACGCGACATTCCCACCTTGTTTCAGACATAGATTTAAGTGTGAGATAAAGCACTTTTGCTTTAAGTATTTCCCACCGCTTGGGAGAGCCTGCAAAAATCGTGTAAAGACGCTGTACAATGCCAAAAAAAGACATTGCTTTTGGACAACTCTTCGCCATGTCTCCCAGGGTTAAATTCAGGCTGTGGCAACCGCATGGCATGAAGTAAGCGCGGGGATTGAGATGCAGAATGTGGGCTTGAACCCCCTGATTTTGTCCTTTCATATTCGCCCCGTTGTCGTATCCTTGGCCCCGACAGTCATCTATGCTCAATCCAAGAGACTGTAGTTCTGCCAAGAGCGCATTCGATAGTGCCTTTCCAGTTTGTTCATTTACTGGGATGAAGTCAATGAAATGTTCTTCTACGTTCACTTCTAATGAAGACATATTTACAAAACGAAGAATGAGTGACATTTGCTCCTGATGGCTCATATCTGGCGTACAATCAAGAAGTACAGAGTAATATTTTTCTCGCTTCGTTAGATTGACAATAGAGTTTTTGACGTTGGCTGCCATAAGCGAAATTAACTCATTTTGGATCCGAGGTCCTAAATAATGTGCATGAGTTCCCTTATCTCTAATGCGTCTGACATGTTCCTGCATGGTTGGATCAAATTTGGCAATCATCTCTATTAATCCCAAAAAGTTACCATTGTTCTCTTCATAAATCTTTGAATTTGTACCTCGAAATGCCAAATTATTCTCCGCCAAATACTGCACAGCCGCTAAAATACGTGTCAAAACGTCGTGCCAGTGTGCCTTTTCTCTGTTTATAGCTCTCTGGTGTGACTCGTCAATCGTTGTTTGTGTGTTTAATCTTAGCCTCGTCTCCATCCATTTAGCTGCATGTGTGATGTGATCTGTGCTCGTTTCGTGTTCTTTCAGCTGAGTACCCAAATGTCTCCAATCATTACTGCCTCCATTGGCTAATTTGGACCGACTTGTGCAGTGAAACAATTTACAACAAAAACAAAATACAGAGTCAGATTTTTTTGAATAAACAAGCCAGTCTCTTTGAGCCCTTTCCCCATTTGGCAATCTTCGTACAAAGAACTCATCAGAAAAGTGTCTTTTGTCTTGATTTACGGGAAATTCAAACTCACAGATCTTGACAGGCCCTTTTTCCACAAGTAAATCGATTATTTGAGCACTCAAATGCACGGGCCAATTACTGGGATCATTCAGGTCCGTCTGGGATACTTCACTGTGAGTGTGACTGTCAGAACAATATTCATCCGATAGTGGGTCCCCATCCTCCTCCTCTTCCACGGCAAATTCTGCTAAAATGTAATAGAAAAAAAGAAGACTGATCGTATGGCCCAGTTTAAAATGAAATACTATTTACCACACAGCTACTTATATTCCTCATTCCTCACCTTGATTATCATCCTCTACCTCCAGGTTCCCTTTGGGATCTGTCACAGTGTCTGTGATGATGCTAGCTCTTGCCGCCACCACGGCATTACCATACCCGCTAGCTGTGGCTGTGGACACCTGTTCCGCCTCCACCGCAGAACTGATAATAAATTTATCCAGTGACCCCCTTAGCGTCCTATTAAATTCTCCCTTCCTTTTCTGTTTTTTTCTTTTGTCGCAACCCGATACGTGTTTGCGAAATCGGTCGCGGTCTCTTGCAGCTGACATCGTTCGTCCTGTGGCAAAATGGCATACGAGTCTTCTTCTGTTGTTTGAAACGCGCGAAAATGACTGAAGCGTAGTCATAATTTTTTGTACTGTACATTATATATATTTTGCCTAATTATATGTTTTGTGTGGCTTTTACAGAGACAAAATCACAGTTAACAGTTAGTGTATTTATTAGTGTATTCATTTAAAAAAAAAAAAAAAAAGGAAGGAAGATAGCGAGGCCCTGTGCGGTGCGAGGCCCTGTGCGGTGCGAGGCCCTGTGCGATGGCACAGGTCGCACCCCCCTTGGGACGGGCCTGCCTGACACAGTGGCTGGGACAGCTAGCCGCGATCTCCAGAATAACCTTACGCGACTCCAAAGCCCAAACACAAAGGCTTCAAGACGCAATAGGTGAACTGGAACGACAGCTAGCGAGAGGTCAGGCAACGAGAAGCCCCCGAGAAGTAACATATCCAGCGGAGCCAAGTCAGGGGCAAAGCCTGCAACAACCCAGGATGGAGCAAAGGGGTCTTGCAGTGGTCCAGACAGCCAGACAGAGGGATTCCAACACCTGCATGCAACTCCTCGAGGCAAAAAGCCAGGCGGGGACAAAGGCCAGAATCAAAGAAATAAAGAAATAAAACAAAAATAAAGCAGTCTGCTTGGCCTTGACTGTTCCGGTCATTCTGTTCACGTGATGAAAAAACAAGGAGACCCAACAATGCAAAAAACTGCAGAAATATGGATTTAATAAAATAATACAAATCAAAAACCACAAGGGTACTGGACAGGACTAAAACATACTAGGATGACAATGACAAACAAGGGAGTGAAGGAACACACAGGGCTAAATACAATAACTGACATTCTCCTGCCTACCTGAGAATGAAAGAGAAAGATTGCTCTTTACTAAAGCTTGAAGGTAAAACTACTCTGGGCATGTGTAATGAGGCCAAACAGCACTGTAAAGATGTTTAAAACAGCAAGAAAAGTCAAAAAATAATAATATGACACATTTTTAATTCAGGTGTCTAGTTTAATTGTAATGTCATTAAGTAATATGCACTATTTACTTTGTTTTGAGGATTCCTGAGTAAAAGGGTCGAGGGGTCTCTACTGCAAAATAAGTTGGAACTATCATCAATCATCATCAAATCAAATTTTATTTATGAAGCGCTTTTCCATACAAAAGATTGCAACACAAAGTGCTTTACAGTTTGGTAAAAACAATCCCGCCGGCCCATGTTCCCCTCCCCCCGACCACCCACAACCCATCCCAAACCACAGACAAACGCACACAGCGTAACTCCCACCATGCACACTCTCTGAACACACACACACGACACACAGCACACACACACACACACACACACACACCACACACAAAAAGCACTCACTCACACACACACACACACAACACACACACACACACACACACACACATCCCACACCCACACAAGTAAAACATAAAACAATGATGAAGACTTGTCAGGGTTTTCGGATGCAACCAGTTAAAAAGCGTCATCCTAGAGACCGTCTGCACCAGAGCAGAGAGCCGCCTGTAAAGCCACAGGGGACGACACAGGATCTAGAGGAGACCCAAACCGAGGCCCCAGGCCCCCACCAGGTCCAAGAGTCCGACCCCCACAGCCACACCGACCACTGCTTCCCAGTGCAGAGGGCTCCTCCAGAGGAAACACTGGGTACACTATAAACAATATATTAACAATACAATATGTAAAACACAAAATGTGAAACTAAAAGGATAAACTAAAATGAACTAACACACAATACATGATAAAAGCAATAGCAATACAATAAATAATAGAGGATAAATAGAATATATAAAATGAAATAGTAAAAAACTAATCAAAAGCTAATCTAAAAAGGTGCGTCTTGAGCCTGCTTTTAAAAATATGAACGTTCTCTGCGGCCCTGAGCTCCTCCGGCAGACTGTTCCAGAGACGGGGGCCGTAGTGCTGGAAAGATGCCTCACCGTGAGTGTGTGTCCTGACTTTGGGGATGGTTAGAAGTCTGCTGCCGGAGGAGCGCAGGGGCCGGGAAGGTTCATAGGATAAAAGCAAATCTGAAAGATAAGAAGGCCCAAGACCATTAAGACATTTAAAAACCATTAAAAGAACCTTAAAATCGATCCTGAAACACACGGGGAGCCAATGCAGCGATTTTAAAACCGGTGTAATGTGGTCCCGCCCCCTGGTCTTAGTCAGGACACGTGCGGCCGAGTTTTGGAGTAATTGTAAACCTGAAATGTTCTTTTTGGGAAGACCAGAGAGCAGGGCATTACAGTAGTCAATGCGACTGGTTATAAAAGCATGCATCAGCGTCTCCGTGTTGCCCCGAGAGAGAATGGGGCGGACTCTGGCGATGTTCTTTAGATGATAAAAACCTATTTTTGTGATGTTCTTGATGTGAGGAATAAAAGTCAGCTCAGAGTCAAAGATTACGCCCAGGTTTCTCACTTGTGATGATGGATTAAAAGAGTGTGATTGGAGTTTTTTGATAAAAGTTTCTCTCTCTGGGCCTCAGGACCGATGACTAAAACCTCAGGTTTTGTCCTGGTTGAGCTGGAGAAAGTTTTCTGCCATCCAGGATTTCAGGTCTAAAATGCAGTTAAAAAGAGCATCCATTGGCCTGGTGTCATCAGGAGACATGGAGATGTACAGCTGAGTATCATCTGCATAACTGTGGAAGTTAATTCCATGTCTCCTGACGACACCGCCAAGAGGGAGCATGTACAGGTTAAAAAGGACTGGACCTAAAATGGAACCCTGGGGCACACCACATGTGATTTTATGGACCTGAGAGGAGCAGGTATCCAAACTTACCATGAAGGATCTGTCTGTTAAATAAGAAGTGAACCATTTGTGGACAGCACCAGAGAGGCCGAGGTGTTTCAGGCGGATAAAAGAATGGTGTGGTCTACTGTATCAAAGGCAGCGCTTAGATCCAGTAGAACCAACACGGTCACCTTTTTAGAATCATAACTTAGTCTAAAATCATTTAAAATCTTTAAAAGAGCAGTCTCTGTGCTGTGGTTCACCCTATACCTGATTGAAATTTCTGTAGTTTTTCTAAAAATTTTGTTAAAAATCCGGTTAAAATCTAAAAATTGCTCTTCTTCAGAAGGGGTCTCACCACAGCCGCTTTGAAGGCTGCAGGAAAGACCCCAGTCTGCAGAGAGCAATTCATCAGGTTTAAAAGCTCCTCTCTAAAAGATTCATAAAATGACTTAAAAAATGGAGTGGGGACTGGATCTAAAAGACATGTGGTGGGCCTCACTGAGGAGAAAACTTTATCAAGCATCTCAGCATCAACCAGGACAAAACTGTCCAGTGTTTCCTCTGGTGAAGACAAACAATCAGATGTGTTAAAAACAGTTGTGCGGTTGGATAAAATGTTACATCTGATTGTGTTTATCTTCCCCGTGAAGTGGGCTGCAAAATCCTCACAGAGGGAGTCTGTGGGGGTTAAAAGAGACATGCTAAAATCAGGGTTTAAAATGGTGTCGATGGTTGAAAAGAGGACCTTTGGGTTATTTTTTATTTTGGGTGATTAGCTTTGCAAAGTATTTGTTCTTATGATTTCTAATTGTGTTATTGTATGCTTTTTGATTGCTTTTATATAGTTTGTAGTTGATTGTTATTTTATCTTTCCTCCACCTTCGTTCTGCCACCCTGCACTCTCGTTTCATTTTCCGTACTTCCTCATTTCTCCATGGGGGTACAGATTTTGTTTTTATGATTTTTGTTTTTAAAGGAGCGACTTGATCCAATGCGGAACTAAGTCTACTGTTAAAATCATTTGCTATAAAATCACAGGGGGCAGGTAAAACCAAGTGGGGAGTGTTGTTTAGGATGTCGATAAAATTTGCAGCCACTTCAGGGGTTAGATGTCGCTTCCTCACGATTCTCACAGAGGTCTCACGCTGAAAAAAACCAGTGATGTTAAAAAACACACAGTAGTGGTCCGAGACAGCCAAGTCGACAACAGAGGACACATCCGCAGTCAGGCCATAGGTAATGACCAGGTCGAGGGTGCATCCCCTGTTGTGTGTTGGCTGTCTGACGTGTTGGGTAAAATCCATGTAATTAAGAACATCTAAGAAATCTAGGGTAAAATTGTCAGAGGGATTGTCAATGTGTATGTTAAAATCACCGGTTAAAATTATCATGTTGTAAGAATTGTGTAACTGTGATAAAAACGCTGAGAATTCATGAATAAAAAGGCTGCACTTTTTAGGTGGCCTATAAATAATTACTGTTAAAATTTTGGGGTTGCTAAAAACAAGAGAGTGATACTCAAAACTTGAGTATTGGTTAAAAACAATAGGTTTGGTGGCCAGGGCGTTACTGCATATTGAGGCTGTGCCGCCACCTCTCTTTCCTTCTCTTGTTTTAAAAGCAAAGCTAAAATCGGGAGGGGAAGCCTCTGTAAGAACAGCCGGAGCATCCGGACCCAGCCACGTCTCAGTTAAAAACATACCATCCAGTTCGTGTTCTAAAATCAAATCGTTTGCAGTAAAAGTCTTATTTAAAAGAGAGCGTACATTTAAAAGAGCAAACCTGATGGTAGATGGGGGGTCATTTTTGTTTGTGGTGAGGGGAGAAGAAGATGTGGAGGAGCAAAGGGCAACAGGGATGAGGGTGTTGAGGGACGGTTTCCGGATTATGGACGGTCTGTAGGGGCGGGGTCTGGACAGAACTGAAATTCCTTGCTGGAGGGGGGAGCAGGGACCGATGTTGGAGTCCAGAGGGGCAGGAATGATGTGGGATGGAGTGGTGGATTGTCAGAGGTGCGGGGGACGGGATTGGACTGAGTGGGTGATGTTTGAAATCAGGTACCGGGTGCCGAGTTTATTGATATGGAGT